TCTTGATTGATGGATACCCAAAACAGTGATGGCAATCTTGAATAGTGACTGCACGAATCTTAGCTTCCAGCACTTTTTTTTGAAGTAAATAGAGGCCAACATGAACAGAAGCTTTTTCCAATCATTCTCATGCTTGAAATCTATTGTATCGAAGCAAAATTGTGATCAAACTTTTCCATAATAGACTTTGTCTTGTGAAGTTGAAACGCAAAGATAAGATCAAGTTCAAATTGTAGAGCAAACAGTACATATATAAGCAATTAGTGTTCATTTAGTTGAACATTGCCAATCTTGTGAACTTGAAGTTAAACATCTGATTAGGTTATTATACTCGAGTATTCATGATAGAATGAAGATCATTGAATTTAGATAATTCTTTCCGAAGAACTTTCAATTTTGTGAAGTAGTTGTTGACTAAATTTACACTAGTCCATATTTGAAGATATAATTCGACACTCCCATTGGTCTGTCTATTTTCCAAAAAATCAACCACAAACACAAATGCTTCAAATTAAAGTTAAAAGGTTTCTTGTAAAAAAAAACAGCTAATAACTCGCTAAATGACATTTTCAATCCCAATCCAATGATAAAAAAGGGATTTAAAGCTAAGCTTTGCGATAAATGACACGCCTTTCTCTCTTGTATTCAACTTCTTCCCTTTGATGCATTATTATCAATGCTCTCCTCACAACCGACTCATTCAGCCCCATTCTTGTCAAATCATCAATCAGTCTTCTTTCTGATAAATGACTCCCTATTCCCATTCTTCTCTTTATCTGGCTTTCCGCTTGCTGTTTTTTTTTTTTTCAAAACACAAAATTAAATAAATAACAAAGTTTATAAAATTAAAAAAAAAAATTACTATTATGTGTTAACAAACCTTTATCTCATTTGCCATCTCAGGGGTCAAATTGATATGTTGATTTATCCCAGATTTGGCAGCATCCATCGTTGAATTCTCAAACAGTCTAACCGCTTCCACAACATCAATATCATTCGCCACATTTGAACTATAATACATCAAAAAAAAAATAACAAAACAGTTAATACTAGACAGTAAAAACCAAAACTATTACTGGCTTTTTATTTTTTAACAACTTACAGTCTCATCTTTGCTAGCGATTCGCTCAACCTAACTATCGCTTCCAGCTGTCTCACTGTAATTGGTACAGCTGTCGATTCACCAGTTTCGTTGGCCTGTTTCCTCATTTTCTGTATAAAAAATTTAACAAAGAAAAAGTAATAAGGGTGTTAATTGACATAGATTGAAACTTCAGGGACTAAATTTATAGAGTATTAGTATATGGTTTTAAACCTGTCTAATTTCAACATAAGTCTGCTGCAACGAAGTAGCTGCAGAATCCGATAGGCGAGGTTGACTCATGCTGCGACAGTACTGAATATACCTGGAGAGATGAGATTACGGTTTAGCCCTTTACCATAATGACCATTCTACCCTTGATAAAGAAAAATATTACAGAGTACAGACCTTTTAAGCCAGTTATCATCTTTAGTATCCCTAGGTTCACCCGCTGCATTAGCAGATGTATGGACCCGAATGATATGAGTCGCTATTTTCTACATTTAAAAAAAAAAACACAAACAAAAAGTTATCATAATTTTTTAATATAAAATACAAGAAGAGTTTTTTTTAAAAAAAATACCTTGTCTTGGCTGAACATCTTGATATCTTTGACAATGAAGATGAGGTCAAATCTTGAAAGGATAGTAGTCTGTAAGTCAATGTTATCTTGTGCAGTTTTGAGATCATCATAACGGCCTGATGGAGGGTTTGCTGCAGCTAATACAGAAGTTCTGGAATTGAGAACTGTTGTTATTCCTGCTTTGGCTATGGATATTGTTTGTTGTTCCATGGCTTCATGTATAGCAACCCTAATTATAAAATTTGAAAATATGTCAGAGTCTTGAGGGTAATTTGGTAAAACTTAAGATAAACATTGTTTAATTTTTAATCCAACCTGTCTTCTGGTCTCATTTTGTCGAACTCATCAATGCAGACAACACCACCATCAGCCAAGACCATAGCCCCTCCTTCCAGATAAAACTCGCGCTAAATGATTTTATAAAGTGAAAATTAGAATAGGAGAAAAATGGAAGGATGTTGTGGAATATTTGATTTAAAAAAAAAAAAAAAAAAAAAAGATAAGAAAGTTACAGTGCTGTTATCACGAATGACAGAAGCAGTAAGCCCAGCAGCAGATGAGCCTTTCCCGGAAGTGTATACAGCTATAGGAGCAGTCTTCTCAACAAACTTGAGAAACTACAGAAGAGAGTAATTTCATGGGTTAAAAACAACAAATAGTTCATTGATTTACTTAGATTATTAAAATTACAACTCTGTCATAAAAAGAAATGAAAAGAATTTAAGGTTACCTGTGATTTTGCAGTGGATGGGTCTCCCAAGAGCAAAACATTAATATCACCCCTCAATCTTACACCATCAGGTAAAGTCTGTAGAAATAGAGGAAATGAGCTCCTAAATGATTAAGTAAAGACAGCAATATTCAAGAGCAAAGTCAGCATTAGGCATTATACCTTCCTTGATCCTCCAAACAGGAGACAAGCCACAGCTTTTTTAACATCCTCATGGCCAAATATGGAAGGGGCAATCTTGGAACATATGTTTTCATATACATTGCCTTCTGCTGCAAATCTCTTGAACTCTTCAACCTGAAAACACAATGAAGGTAACCCACTAAGTAATCAACAAAACCAAAGCAAAACAATCTCTATTTCCATTAAAAGACAAACATAATTTGCATCAAATGATAGTAACTTTACCTCTTCTTGTGTGAAATTGGCAGGACCACGAGTAGCTTCGTTTGTTTCTTCTATTCCAACAACTCTTATATACGGTTGTCTAATAGCAACTGCTCCTTTGTGACTAGATCAAAATTCAAAACAGAAAAAAGAGTGCAGGTTTAGCTATATTCATAATGTATGAAAGTTACATGTCACTGGTGAACAGATAGAGTGAAAGTATTACGATGTGGATGTCTTTGAAGCTTGAAATATGCTGTAAATTCCCATTATAGTCAATCTTGTACCAGGTACAATTGTTTGTACAAGTTGTCTGTCTACAGATAAAAGCATGTTCCTTGGTAGCTCACCAGTTGGGACATCCTAAGATTTAAAAACAGACCAAAAAGTTAGAAACTTCAGTAGTGATTCATTGTAAGAAATCATTAAATGCCAAGACTTTTTACCTCAGGGTTTTCTTGAAGTTTCAAGGTCTGTTGATCAACATACTTGCTTCTATCTGGGACTACAATCCATGGGTCAACAGGGCATGGTGTTTCACCAATCTGTAAAAATTAAGGGAAACACATTTAATATAAAAGGAGTTCACATTTATGGGAGAAATGGCAATGAGGTGATGAATGTAACTAATTACCTGTGCTACATGGTCACATGATCTTGGCACAATTGCTCCACCAAGCCCAGGGCGACAAGGAACCACCTTCACATTTTTACAGTTCTTACACAACAAAGTCACGTAAGTTGCTTTGGCTTTGGTACGAGATGCAGCAATAGTAATCCCAGATATTTTAACCAGTTTGGATATGTATTGTGCCTACCATAAAATCAATTGGAAGAACCAATTAGTGTTAGAGTCGCAAACAAGATAAGCTAGTAAGAAATTTAAGAAATGAAAACGGAAAGTATAAGGTACCAACCCCGAGGGCTCTCATTGATACAGGATCCTCATCTGATTTCAACAAAATTTGAACCTCCCCTGTCTGTGGCTCCTCCATTTCTCCAGTTTCTCCGGCAACTCTGGCCTTCAAATTTGCATTAACCTCTGCCGCAGCAGTTTCAAACTAACAAAACCAACATAGCTAACATAAGATATCCAGTGCTCAAATTTGATATCAAAACAGCTAATATGCATACTAGGTTCTACAGATTCGGTCCTTTAAGTTATGGAAAATGAATATAATGTAATTGTTATACAACAGAAACCTAGATCCAATATTTTTTGACCTAATTAAAACCATTCCCAACGTGTACGAAATTCAGATGTGCAAAAAATTCCGTGTGCATATCATAATATAGCGTACCAGAGGGAGGTAATCGGAAGGGTTTTTTCGGAGCAAATCTCGAAGATCTTGATCTTTGTCATAGGTGAGGAGATCTGTTAGATTAACGAGGAGGAACTTCGGATTTTGAACAAGGCTTTCTCTGTAAGGGAAGACATTGGGCTCATTCGGACGAGCGAAGTTCCTGATGAACTCTTTAAACTTCCTGAGTACCGTGTGGCGGTTCGCCGCCTGTTCAGGATCGGCGCCGGCGCCATGAGGGAACTGTGCTTGGTCGCTGTAGTGTACCGCACCTTCATCCCAGCCAGACATCTTCAATCGTCGAAGCTTTCTTTTGGTCTCTCGTCGACGTTCTCTTGCTTTCTCTCTCACTTCTCTCTAGAAATGCTCTTTGTGCGGCGATAGTCCTCTCTGTCCCGCTCTTTTTCTCAGGTATTTTGGCGGGAAAGATATGGCGGGAAATGATGAGAAGTGATAGTGCACTAGTTGGTAGCTGGGCCTGCTGACTTTGGGCCGGTAGTAACATTTTGGTGACTCAAGTTATTGTATCAAAATTGAACAAGACTTTAAGGGGTCATGTGTGTAGTAATAGGGTTGAGCAAAAGAACCGAACCGGCTGGAACCGGCCCGAATCGAACCGGGCCGGGGAACCGGCTTCGGCAAAAATGAAGAACCGAACCGGCCCGGCGGTTCCACCGGTTCCGGTTATATCGGTTCCGGTTCCGGGTCCAGTTTTTGCCGGTTTTTCGAGTATGGAACCGGCTAAATTTTGATGTACCCAACGACTAAATTACTTTGCGTTTTATTGGTTTTTCGGGTCCGATTTTTGCCGGTTTTTCGAGTAATTCCAACGACTAATTTACTTTGCGTTTTATTGGTTTTTTATGAAGAAGTGGATGTTTAAATACTAGTAAATAATCAACATTTTAATAATAAACATTTTAATAAACAATTGAACATTGAAGCAAATTAAACATGGATGTCGTCAAACTTATATTATTAAGTATCCAACATTCAAACATTCAACATTCAAAATACACTTTCGACATTCAAAATATACTTCCAAGTTTCACCAACAAAAAAAAAAAAAGTCTAATATGTGGATTCCAACATTTCTTTGATATTTTGACTAATTCCCCGATCTCTTCCCCGTTAGCTTCAAGTTGTGTATAGCATCCACAATGTCTATATATAATTCAAAAGAAAAATGTTATTACTTACTAAAATGTAACAAATACTAATAAGAAGTTAAAAATAAGATGTAACAAGTATTAGTGTATTACCGATAGCGAGGTCATCGTCAGCTAACACATCGTGCACTTCGTCGTAGTCATATATAGGCAAGCTACTCTTTCTTAGCCAATCTTGAGTGCATATCAATGCCTCCACAATCACAACGGACAAATTAGTACGGTAGTCGGTAATTACTCGACGACCATTACTGAATGTGGATTCGGATGCTACGGTGGAAATTTGCATCCCCAAAATATCTATTAATAAACAAATTAGTGTATAATACACGACACAAATTTATAAATTAAAAATTTAAATTAGAGTAAAAGAAGGTCGATACCTCTTGCCATTCGAGCAACGATCGGGAACCGCACTGCATTATTTTTCCACCATGTGAGGATATCATATCCTTTGTCAAATCCGATTGGGTCCTCGTTTAAGTATCGTTGCAATTGACTTTCTGAGGAAGTCGAGGGGAAACTTCCCGAAGTCATATAGCTTCCAAAGAATTCGTTTTCGTCATCAAAATTAACAACTTCTTCGGGAGTTTCTTGTTGAGACGATGAGGTCATGTTTGACCTTTCCAAGTATGTCTTGAAAAACTTGTCCAATTTGCATTCAATATCAATAACCTTTGCACGTGCTTTGGATTCTATCTCATCAGCGGACATCTTTTTATCTTTGTTTTTGGCTTTAAGCATTTGGGTAAAAACAACTTTCATAAACTTTGACTTGCATTGAGGATCTAACAATGTCGCAAAGAAGACATAATCACTTATAGTATCATAGTCACCCCAATATTTGTCATATTTATGTTTCATATCCGGTACCATAAACATAAAATCCGGGTTGGTTTCATGTTTCCTAAGATGTTGCTCTATATCTAGGATCTCCCGGGTATACGTATGGAAGATAGGCTTTGTTGAACACGAAACTTTTTCAGTTTTCTTCTTAAACTTCTCAAGGAACTCCATCATCTTTTTAATCATCTCAAAATCTGAATGTGATGGTACCCTTCCCACAGTTTTCTGAAACATTGGATCTACAAAAAAAGAACAACACAATCAAATTACGTTTTATTGTTGTTAGAAAAAAAAACAGATTTGACACCCTTCCTTGCGGGGCTTGTAATTCATTCAATTTTTAACCAAATCAAGCGTTTTTATAGTCTAAATTCAACTACTAATCCTAATCTACATGTAGGAAAAAGATTCAGGTCAAAACAATTTAAATTGAATGAATTATGCATATTTGAACAACAAAATCACATGACGTTATATTGCTGTTAGAAAAAAAAATTCAGATTTGACACCCTTCCTTACGGGGCTTGTAACTCATTCAATTTTTAACCAAATCAAGCGTTTTTATAGTCTAAATTCAACTACAAATCCTAATCTACATGTAGGAAAAAGATTCAGGTCAAAACAAGTTAAATTGAATGAGTTATGCACAATTTAATATTTGGACTGATTGCTAAAGAAATAAATATTGCTAATTTTAGTGCTGAAATATATTTGATTAATTGATTTTATTTACCTTGATGGCTATATTCGAGAAATGCGTCTTTCACATCGTACGCTGATCTTAGCAATTCAAAGGTAGAGTTCCACCTTGTTGGAGTTTCACCACACAAAAACCTTTGACTTTCTACAGCCGCATCCTTCATGGCTTGTTTAAACGTCTTGATCCGTTGCGGGGAGGCTCTAATGTATTTCACCGCATCTTGTAGGTTTTTTACATGATAAACTTCGTGTTTTAACCCCATTTTCACAACTAGGTTTATGATATGAGCCATACACCTAATGTGAAAATGTTTGCCATTCTCGTAAATACCCGGTAGTTCTTTCACAATGATGTTGATTGCCGCGTCATTTGTCTTGGCATTATCAACGGTCATCGTCATGACATTCTTCATCCCCCACTCGTTTATGCAAATTAGCAACTCTCGGGCCATGTCTTCAGCTTTGTGAGTATCAACCTCTCTAAAGTTGACTACCCTTTTGTGCATGACAAAATCTTCGGTAATGAAGTGGGCCGTGACAACCATATAATTTATCTTTTGACACGAGGATGTCCACGTGTCGGTTGTCAAGTGGATGGCTGTTTTGGGGTTGCTCAAATGTTTGTACAACTTCTGCCTCTCCATTAAATAGAATGACACAACATCACGAGAAATTTTATGCCTTGAAGGCAATTTCACCCTACCATTAAGGGCGTTTACAAATTCTATGAATGCCTCGTTTTCAATGAATTTAAATGGTAGTTCCCCAATGGTGAAAAGCCCTAGCAAGGCAAGTTGGATCCTAGTATCATCATGTTTCCATGTGTATACATGACCCTCACCATTAGGAGCTTTCGTAAATGACAACTTTTGTTGTTTGTCATCAACTTGTTTCGGTATGTTGTCTGGATTTAACTTGCACCCATTAAAATGCTTGTTTATTGAAGTTGTACCATTCCGGTTTGGATCTGCGGCTAGTAAATGTAAAAATAATTGCATTCGGCCCACTTTCTTTCAATTCCATCGTCCTCCTTTATCCATTCGATCTCGAAGTATTTCCAAACAGGAGCGGTACAATTATCTCTACCCTCACCTCGTCTGGTTGGGTTAATCCGGTCCCTTAACTCCTTTTGAGTCTTTTTTTTGTTTTTGGGTTTTGGTTTTGTTGGGTATTTTTCTTGTGTTCGTTTTTGTGGTGGTGGTGGTTTTTTTGTTTGTGTTGGTTTTTTTGGTTGTCTTTGTTTTTGTGTGGTTGCAAATTTTCGTTTTTTTGAAGGTTGTTGTTCTTGTGGCTCCTCTTCTTGGTTTGATTCATCACTTGGTATAACATTCAATGCCGGTGTTTCTTCTATATAATCTTCTTCTGAATCTTCTCCATAATCCTATATTCACAAAATAAAACATATAATAAGTCATATTAGTATATTACATTTAAATGCTGAAAAATAAATATAAAAAAATTCAGATTTGACACCCTTCCTTACGGGGCTTGTAACTCATTCAATTTTTAACCAAATCAAGCGTTTTTATAGTCTAAATTAAACTACAAATCCTAATCTACATGTAGGAAAAAGATTCAGGTCAAAACAAGTTAAATTGAATGAGTTATGCACATTTGAACAACAAAATCACATGACGTTATATTGCTGTTAGAAAAAAAAATTCAGATTTGACACCCTTCCTTACGGGGCTTGTAACTCATTCAATTTTTAACCAAATCAAGCGTTTTTATAGTCTAAACTCAACTACAAATCCTAATCTACATGTAGGAAAAAGATTCAGGTCAAAACAAATTAAATTGAACGAGTTATGCACAATTTAATATTTGGACAGATTGCTAAAGAAATAAATATTGCTAATGAGCTAAATACTAATCTTACTTGGTCATCAAAGTCTTTTCCAATCCAATTAGCCGGATTACCATCTTCATTATTGGCATCATGAGCATCCGAGTTTCGGTATCTTGATGATGGTACATTTGGTAGCCCATCCAAATCCTACAATGTCAATTTTACACATTAATTATATAACAAAAGTACTATACAAATTCGTAGTTTTGACAATCTTACATAATTACATTCATACTATAAACAATAAACTAATCTAACAAAAATTTTGCATGTATGTCTACAAAGTACATTGTTAAATGGAGCTTAAAACATGAAACATATATTATATGTACAACCTTTCATCCGTAAAGGAGTACTCCACTATGAGACTATGATCAAAAATCAAGATCTTTTAATTAAGTAGGGATAACAATGCATATATTTGGAATGGAGACAACAAAACCAAAGAAAAAAAACTTGCATGCATGCCATTATTTGGTGAATCATTGAAGCATTGAAGATTTGAAGCTAATATTGAAGTATATAATCTTAAAACATGAAATATAAATATATGCTTTTACTTGATCTTCATGAACATCCATAGTTTGAATCATTGAAGCAATTGAAGATGAAAAATTGAAAATCAATGAATGATGATAAAGAATTGAAGATTGATTGAAACTTGGAGATGGAAACTTGTAATCATTGGAAACTTGGAGATGAAGAATTGATCAATTGAATGATGATGAAGTGATTGCCGATTGTTGAAGAGAGTAGGGTTCGATCGTTTGCTCCAAGTTGGGATCGTGGCCGTGACTTGCAAGTCCCAAAAAAACAATCGCATAATGCGTTTTTTTTTTTGTTTTGAGTTAGTCGCCGTCGTGCGTTTTTGTGTGTATCGCAAGCCGGGCCGGTTCCCGGTTTTGGGCCGGTTCCAATAGCCGGTTCTTTCCGGGTTCCGGTTCCAAAAAATCACAAATTTGTAGTATAGGTCCCGGCCCGACCGGTTCCATCGGGTGCCGGTTCCGGGACCGGTTCTGGGACCGGTTCCGGCCGGTTCCCCGGTCCTTTTGCTCATCCCTATGTAGTAATATTAATATTTAGGGCAGATTGCGACTAGCGTATTTTATGATATTTATTAATGTAGGCAACATTTATTTTTAGTTTTTTACAATCATAGCAACGAACTTGAATTTAACTATTGATTTTAAACAATATGTAATCCCTATAAAGTTGCTGACGTGACATCGGTTATCATCATGTTATCGTGCACATCTCCCTATCTAATAAACAAAACCAACTGGACACGTGTCATTACAATCATCCATTTTCGCCCTATGTTAAATTACTCTATTACCCCTTCAGCATCCTTTCACGTATCATTAGGTAATAGATAAAATAGGTAATTAGGTATGGAATTGAATTAGATTAGATTATATATGGAATATATGGAATATATGGAATATGGAATTTCACGTAGCATTACAAATTGAATATGGATGGAAATAATGATATTGTATCGAAATCTTTGGAATGTTGAATCTGGAAATATCGATATTTTCTAATTTGAAATTTGAATATGGAATATCTGCTGTATACATTAAATCAATTCCGTTACATGCCCGATTAAGAGCACCTAAAAATGGTATGCATATCAATCAATTATTATGCGCATAACATACTATATCAATCATATTCCGCTTCAATTACATAATTCAATCCCTACGACCGTCTCTGCATCTCAATTCTGCTTCTTAATTTCGAATCTTGAATCAGCAACTTCAATCCTTCGGTGAGTTTCTCATGATTAAGTATCATTGCTTCTCAATGTTTGTGTTAATCGTATAATTGAATTTTTTTTCTTCTTCTGCGACTTCAATTTTGCTTCTCATTGAATTTGTTAATCAAGGTTTCTATTTATCTTTGATTCAGAAGTTGTTTATTAATTATTTTCGTCTGATTTATCAAACCGTTTATATAATAAACAAAAAAGTATCAATTTCTTTTTGAAGTTCCTGTTACACTATATCCCATTTTTAGTAATTTATTCTCAAAGAACAATGCTATAATCTGTAATTTATCATCTTTTAGTTTAATTTTCTGGGCAAGGATGTATTCATTTTAACCTTATAAATAATTTTTCTGATGAAATTAAAGTGATAACATAGATAAAGTACATACCTCTGGAATAATTTATGGGCAACATTTGGGGTTTCCATCAAATACACAACCAACTAAATGCCCACCAGTAACAACCAACATAACTCTAAAACGTGTGTTGTTTCTAGGTTCATCTATCACATTCAGATTTTTTTACTAATATATTTGCAATAAAAAAAATTACATTCAATAACATTCTACTTTTCAATTTCGTGTTATAAGATATCAGTATATTTGCTTTATAAAAAAGATGTCTCAAATTTGAATACATTCAATAAATTCCTGTTCAAAATAATGATCATTTTTTAAACATGGACATATTCATAATTTTCACAATAAAATGGTATATTGGTGCATGCATTCTTGGGAATGTGTTTTGATATTATTTGAGGTATTGTATTAAAAAAGATTCTAATCAAGCTGTCAAATGAGATTTCTCATAATATTGAACACGCAACAGAATAAACAATGCATCAGATGTCAATTTTGCCCTTTGTCAATTCTTTTGATGAGCTCTAAAATTTCAATCATTTAAATTCCATAAATTAAGACTACAATTTCATCATTTTATGACCCCCATTTGCGAAGTTGAGTATTTATTTCCAAAAATGCGAAACTCCAGGGACAATATTTGAAAATTTCTGTTTTCTTCCCCAATTCGCATTCTACTGTGAAATACTTCGCATCTTCATTCTTACACCCTTTGCATCCCTTCGCATTAATCACCTTCGCATTCTACTGTCAATTCTTTTGTATCTCTTTAAAAATTCTGCAATTTCATCATTTTATGACCCCCATTTGCGAAGTTGAGTATTTATTTCCAAAAATGCGAAACTCCAGGGACAATATTTAAAAATTTCTGTTTTCTTCCCCAATTCGCATTCTACTGTGAAATACTTCGCATCTTCATTCTTACACCCTTCGCATCCCTTCGCATTAATCACCTTCGCATTTTAACCTAATTAATCAAATGCGAACCACAAAATTTTCATTCCAGATGCGAACACAGTTTAGTTCTTGAACTCTAAACTTGCGAAATCAAAACTTTCTGTTTTATGGCTGTTTATAGCATTTAACTTTTATTTTCTGTCAAATTTAGCATCTTACTTGGTTCCTATTTTTATGATTTTCCTGTTTAGGTTATGTTTTATCATTGTTTAAATCCATTACTATTGCAAAATTTTACATCTATGTTTTTTTGTATTATTCAGTTCGTTCTTATATTATTAGTACTCGATACACATAATTGTAATTATTTTGTGTACTTTTCTGTTATAGTGACAATGGCAGAAACAAAGATCACTTTCATTAGAGACTTGGACAATATGAATGATGATTACACACTAAAAGTGTCTATTATCCGACTGTGGAAATCGCTTTCAGATGGCAACCCCACTATTGTCAGATCAATTGAGATGATACTCATGGATGAAATGGTAAAATCTACTATTTTCATAGCATTATTCAAAACCATTTTTTTTATTTGATCATTCCAATAATATTATTCAAACTCAATCATTGAAGATGTTATCTTCAATGTTGACCAATTTATATTTATTAAAAATTCCGTTTTTAACATTATATAATATTCTTACCCTATGTGAATAGTGTACAAAAATCCGAGCAAGTGTGTATCCAAGAGATTTTCAAAGGTTTGAGTCCAAATTGAAAGAAGATCAAGCTGTTTACATCCGGTCCCCCACTATCGCTCCTAACAAATACAGTTTTAAAATAAGTGATGTAACCTCCAAGTTAAATTTCCATAGAAGAACAACTATTAACGAGTGTCTACACTTTCAATCCAAAACAAAATATGGATTTTCTTTTGTTTCTTTTGAAACAATTATCTCTGCAACAGCTACATCTAATGAATCAATTGGTAATTTCCCTCCTTATTGATTGTATATTATATTTAATTCTTTAAATTCACATCATTTTGACATTCTGTATTATCATTTTGTAGATATTATTGGTGAAGTTGTTTCATTAGGAAAGCTTGATTCCCGTGATGTCAGCAAATCTCTACATAGGCTGCCTTTACAAATAAGAAACTTAGAGTAACCAAAACTTTTTTTATATTATATCTTATATCTTATATCTTATATTCATTACTTTACAACTTGCATGTAGAATTTTAGTATTATATATTCATTTAACCATTATTATTTTTGCAGAGGTTTGCAGGTTAATGTTACGTTGTTTGGAGATATTGCATACCAGTTAATTTCTTATCTTGAAGCTCATAAAGAAGTTGGTCGTGTGATTGTCCTTTTGCAATTTGCAAGAATTAATGTCTATAACGGTAAATTTTTTATACCAATCAACCTTATTTTAGTCTTTTATATTACTCATTCTATTTACTATTTTATTTTGTTTCATCAGCAACACCTTATGTGAACAGTTATTTTGAACACACACGGATGTTCATAAATGCTAATCTTCCCGAATAGTGAATTAGCAACAATTTCACAGTCCTTGACTTCGCGTTTTTCTTCACGAATCATCCCTCAATCATCAATCCAATTGCGAATCAAAACTCATATGTTCTTGCTTTATCGATTCATCGACTACACTCATATAAATGCGAACAATACTCAATTTCAAAATCGATTGAAACTTATAGCAAAGCTAAATCCAACTTCGCATTCAAAGCAGTGTTATTGATTGCATTCATGAAATACTAACAAGATAATATATTATAATACAAATATACATATTTTAGGTGGTGAAATCGTAACAGCCTAACAATTTGGTATGCAACTTTATTAAATCAATAAAAAAAGTTATGCAAATTGGAAAAATAAATAAAAATATATGTTTTGTTGTTTTAATTAAGGAAATAAATATTTTATATGAATACTCACCTGGAAAAACGCATATTATAATTGTCTAATTTAATCGTAACAGCCTACCAATGTACTTTCTTCTTGACTGTTTGATTGTTTTTTTCTGTGTGCTGATTATAATTGTCTAATTTAATGTAATTTTTTTTTAACTTGCAAGGTACAATGGAACATATTACTCCTATAAAGGAAATTGACTCAATCAAGGACGATTTCACAATTAAAGTTCGGATCATACGTCTTTGGACTCAAAAGTCAAGAACAATGTCTTATAATTGTCTATATCCCATTTTTAGTAATTTATTCTCAAAGAACAATGTTATAATCTGTAATTTATCATCTTTTAGTTTAATTTTCTAAATATATGTGTGGTTGTCTATGTGTGTGTATCTCTTTAAAAATTCTGCAATTTCATCATTTTATGACCCCCATTTGCGAAGTTGAGTATTTATTTCCAAAAATGCGAAACTCCAGGGACAATATTTGAAAATTTCTGTTTTCTTCCCCAATTTTACATATTTACTGTGAAATATTTCGCATCTTCATTCTTACACCCTTCGCATCCCTTCGCATTAATCACCTTCGCATTTTAACCTAATTAATCAAATGCGAACCACAAAATTTTCATTCCAGATGCGAACACAGTTTAGTTCTTGAACTCTAAACTTGCGAAATCAAAAATTCATATGTTGAACCCATATGCGAATATTAACCCAATTGACTTCAAATTGATTCACAGATGCAAACACTCGATTGTTTTACTTTCGCAAAATGAGCATCAACAACTCCACAATCGAGTTTTTAAATTCTTGCAAACAACAATTTCACAGTCCTTGACTTCGCGTTTTTCTTCACGAATCATCCCTCAATCATCAATCCAATTGCGAATCAAAACTCATATGTTCTTGCTTTATCGATTCATCGACTACACTCATACAAATGCGAACAATACTCAATTTCAAAATCGATTGAAACTTATAGCAAAGCTAAATCCAACTTCGCATTCAAAGCAGTGTTATTGATTGCATTCATGAAATACTAACAAGATAATATATTATAATACAAATATACATATTTTAGGTGGTGAAATCGTAACAGCCTAACAATTTGGTATGCAACTTTATTAAATCAATAAAAAAAGTTATGCAAATTGGAAAAATAAATAAAAATATATCTTTTGTTGTTTTAATTAAGGAAATAAATATTTTATATGAATACTCACCTGGAAAAACGCATATTATAATTGTCTAATATCACTATTCTTCATTTTTTCTAAACTTTCATATCTTTTTTTTGTTACAAATTAAAAACTATAATTATATTTCAATTTATCACCCGTGGATTTCCACGGGTTTAAACCTAGTCATCTGCCATATATACAAACATCATGACATGGAACTTTTTAATTGGATGTTGCAAAATTAGAAAAACCCAACAAAAAGGTACTTATTTCTTTTTACCATTAAAGACAGAATAGTTGATCTTTCACCCTGAATAACGATCAACTTATATTCTCTGCCATCCAAGGCAATTTGTGAGCTATTTACATGTTATCTTTAAAGAGTCTTCTGAGTTTTTTTTTTTTTTTTTCTTTTTTTGCTTATGTGACGTTAAGTAAGCTAAAATGGCATGTAAATGATACACATTTGTATATGGATCATTTGTAATTTTGTATGCTACACTTAGCTTACTAGCATCCGCATAAACATAGAAAAGAGACTTACAAAGTTTCATATTAGTGTCATGTATTTACCAAATACATGATTCAGTCCCATTCTAGACCCACCGCATCAGATAAATGGTTGTATCATAATTTATTATTTTCTTTTTTAGAAAAAAAAAAAGCAACCAAATAAAAGGCATGTACAAAAGATCACACCATCTAATTATAAAAGCAAATAAAATGGCTGATTCTAATGCTAACGCTTTTGATCACCATATAATTTCCAATAAAAACACAAAAACGGCCTACTGTTTCTCAAGATTGTACAACAACAAATGGACAGTCTTAACTTGATGCCAAATTCAAGCATTCATGGAGGCCAACCACCATTTCCCTTGTGTTGAAAGCATTATTTGCATATGGGGAGCTCAATAGTCGATATATATATATATATAGGCCATAATAGAGTCGTGAATTCATATACACATCATATTCAACGTTTTTTTTAAGTCAACCTTCAAGAGGAACAGCAGTATCAAGCTTCACTTTATTTAATCGCACCGTTCCAAGAATATACTCTGGTAATTCTTTCTCCTCCCTTCCCTGCAATTTGTCAAAAAAAAAATAGTTTTAATTAAACTGAACAGACTGTATTGCGTTTGGCACGCATTGGACTCGGACTGTGACTGATATCAGTAGGACCAAAAATGCAATTTTTTGTCCCATCTCAAAAAGGTGGGAAATGAACTTGCTCTCAATATCTTGTCTGCAAAAGACGTAAATGTCCTCGTGAATCTTGATGATGAAAACGGAAGTTGTTATAGGAAACGAGTAACAACCTCAATTAAGATGGCAAGATCAACAACTAGACTTGTTACATATCCAAGAACAATACCAATGACACTCCTTGCAACGGATGAAGAACCAATATCTACATCAATCTGCGCATCATAACAAATAATTATGTGGACCAAAATCAATGATAATGACGTGAAATATGAACTCTTTGTTTTTTTTTTTTTTTTTTGGAATATGGAAAAAAGAAAGCAAAAGTATAGACCTCCAAAAAATTGTCTTGTCTTAGGTAGTTACAAGTTACGGCTTTTCCCAATAGGCAAGCTTTTGTCCCAACTGCACGTTTCACCATCCAATATCCCTGTCATGTCAAGTGTCAACCGTTTTCTTCTTCAATATCATTACTTATATATCCATAAAAAGAAATAGCAACGTAATTTCTATCTGTAATAGGATTGAACTGAAAGTAGGATGATATATATTATAATATAATAAACAAATCAACAGAAATAACACAATGCTATTTTTTTGCATTTAACCGAATAAAATACCTGTACAATGCTCGGAATCAATTTGAATCTTGAATCACGAAATGCATCATTTCCATCGATAAATTTACCCAACAATGACCCCTTATTTACAGGCCTATCTGCAGCATAGTACATAACTAGGCTGTAGTTTGGTTTTGATGGAACCTATACAAAGATAACAATATATATTTAAACAATATTTTTTCCATTTTAAAATAAAAAAAAAATTTTAAAACGGTTAATGCATATACCTGCAGGTTGACTACAAGGATGAATGGAAGTTTTTTTCCAGCTTCTGACTGTAAAATGAAAATGAGTTAGAATTATGGAAAATGTAATATGGAAAGTATGTTGCTATTATGGGTATAAAATGTTGTTTTATATTGATAAAAAGATTAAACTACATTGGTATTTCTTGTAATTTGCTCAGTGTAATGATAGCAAGAAACTTTTGAGTACCTGTACAAGGCTTTTGGGATGCAAAGCCACTTTACTTCTAGAAGTTTCTAGTTTATACCAGTCAACTGCTATAAGCTTCAAAAGGGGATCCCCTCCCGCTACCTGAATTTATAAAAATAAAAAAAAAAGTATGAAACCATATTGACATATGGAGTAATGTAATATGAAAAATTGTTAGCTTATTACTAACGTTACACCAACCATGTGATGCAAAATGATTAGGTTGTAACACTTCTTAAATATATTGAAAAGAAAATCTCTTTAATACATTACTAAACCCTTAATCCTTAATCCTGTAAGCTATATATGTTTGTTTCTTTTTGGCTTAATACAAAAAGAACGACTTAATAAAGAAAATCAGAAGAAAAGAGGCTTTCCCATTAAGTCACAACTTTTTATAAATTTGTCCTCGTTTAACTTTTCTTGTCATTTCCACAAGTGTGTCATCATTTTCTCAGAAAGTAACATGACCTTAGTTGCCTTCAATGTTTGCTTTAAATTTTGTTTATTACTGCTTTACTTATAATAAATATTACATTCTAGAGAAGAAAAAAAAAACTACCTTAGCACTATCTTTCATATATGTCTTCCCTCTAATCTTAAAACCAGCACCACTTGGAGATGTCCAACAGTTTGCATCAGATTCACTTTTCCCTTTGTGCATTGATGCATGAAACAAACTAGAATCAAGATTAACTGGTTCCACATTTGGATCTAACTCATGGCTTCCATCCATAGCTGTTTAGATTTTAACAAAAAATCTATATAAATTAAAGCACATTTAAGCAAAATTAAAGTCTTTAAAAAAGGCTAAACAGTTACCTTTCTTTGCTGTTAGAGCCAATCGAGCAATAGCCCATGAAACATTCTTTAGCTTCACTCTTTGGCCCTATTAAAGTACAATATTACACAAAGAAAAATAAGTTTAATTTGGGTTATAAGAGAGGGGATAAACAAACACTTTTCCCTAAAATTTTCAAGATCATGCATATAATATTACTAAAGATTCAAAAGGCAACAAACCTTGCTATCAAGTTGAGTGTTCTCATCATCTTCATCATCTGAAGATGATGATGATGATGAATCAGCAGCAATTGCATCATAAAACTCTTCAGCAACTTCTGCATCTTCAAACTCACTAATGGATCCTGAAACATCAGAGCCTTTTGA